GTGCTACCAAGCCTAAGTGGAGCGACGTCTCAGCGATGAGTTCGACCGCTAGAGGCTATAGGGCCCAGTGGGACAGCTTGCTGATTCAGGATGGAGTCCTGTGCCGTAAATGGGACAATGGTCGAGGAGACAGCTGTCGTTTGCAAATGGTTGTCCCTAAAGCTAAAGTGCCGAATGTTCTACAGCTGTGCCATAATGGTCGTTCAAGAGTCCATCTGGGAGTTAAACGAACTCTACGGAAGGTCCGAGAACAGTTTTACTGGGTCCATTATCGTGACGATGTCGAGGATTGGTGTCGTACATGTACAAGTTGTGCGGCCGTGCGGGGACCTCAGACACGTAGTAGAGGAGCACCGAAATTGTACAATGTTGGTGCACCACGGAATAGGACAGCCCTTGACATTGCGGAGCCGTTACAGAAAGGCGCAAGAGGGACTCCTAAGATCGTCCATGTGGATCGCTTGGCGCTTTATTATGGGGCCGATAATGCTCGGGACGAGCATGTCTTAGGAGGGGCAGTGTTACGAGCTCAAGTCGACGGCACTAGCGCCATCTAGTCTCGAACCGAAGAACTAAACTTCTTGAAGTTGAAACACGAACTCACGGTACCTTGCGCGTGTTTACTTGAATATTCTGGATATTTCGCTGCTAATTTATATAAATAGGCGCTGCAAGATGCGATCGGGGAAGTATTGGAGTTGGCGAGACAAGCGAAGCTTCGGAGCGGAATAAAGTGAATCAGTGTGATTAATTATTAGTGTTTTTAACTTTAATTAGGTAAAGTGAATTAAAGTGTTAATTTAGGTAATTCTATTGGCAATTTTTATTGTCACGAACCTCAAGCTCGTAACAATAGTTATTCATGTCCTTATAGAATAGAATAGAATAGAATATATAGAATACAATAGAATGATTTTTATTCAATATTGATTATTACATAATACTTATTGAAAGACATTTTTTTATTTACCACTTGTTCGGAAAATACTTCTGTCCTTGAAAGAACCAGCGATTGATTCAAAATGAATTTTAATAGAACCAGCATGTTCTCGATCACCTTGTTCCCAGGGGTAATATTGATTAATGTAATCTTTGATATTATACTTAATAACCCATTTTGGACAATTTGTCTTTAAAAAAACTTTTAAACTTGTTTATTGAAAAATTTTGAACATTTCCTGGTATTTTGTTGTAAAAGCCTATACATGGCCCCATAAATTAATTACTAATTCTGTAGAGTCTAGTAACCTACATTACAAGTTTATATTTGTTCCTAGTGTTTAAAATATGAATATCCTTATTCTTACCAAAGCCATTAATATTTTTATGTAACATTTTCATAAAAATATTGCGATGCCAAAGTTATATTATTATCCCATGGCGAAATTCCATAAGACGTTATGCAATGAAAGTTACTAAAATAAACAAATCTAGCTGTCTCAACATTGATAAGACTTCTAATCTTTCTTACAGCATTTTTTCTGCAGAACTAAGTCTAATACCCCTATTACACTACCCTGAATCAGGCTCCCTACTCCCTGATTCAGGGTGGTGTAATAAGATAAAGGGAGTAAAGGTCCTCAATTAGGGCGTCAAAGTGGACCCGGTCTGCAGGGCCTTCCACCGTGCAGTGTAATAACAATAAGGGAGTTTGGGCACTTATTCGATGCGCGACTAGGGATGCAAACCATACATCAATTCTTTCAAACATCGATATATCTATATACGATATACGAGTATAAACATGGTTCTTCATGAGCTATGTTTTATGAAGGATGGTTTGCCGTCAAAGGTTACGATGTAACCAACTTTAGAAGGTATAAAATTCCGTATGTTAAAAGTTGCGAACGATGATTAATATACTTGAACTTCAGAAGTACAATTATCTTCTATCGGTAATTCCAGTTTCGATGTAAACTTGTAGTTATTTTTATTGTGATAATTAAGATAAGTTTATAAATATTGATAATGGATTGAAATTGTTTTATTCATTTTCTTATTAATAATTATATTGTTTGAGCTTTAACTTAATGAATAGTTTCAGTCAGTAGTGTCAGTTTTATAAGGTAATAGTTATTTTGTAATGGAAATTAGTTTATCGGCTTACGGTACTTCGTATTTCGTTACAATAATTTTTCTGAAATATTGATTTTTATGGATGCACGGTTATTCACCTGTTTGTATTTCGGTATAGTTTCGTAGATGTATTCAGAAAATGTGATAATACTGAAGGTAACATATGGAACTACCATAAAAAATTAACGCACCATATCATAAGAAATAAAATTAAAGCAGTTTCATATGTTACATGTGGGATATCATGAAAGGGTTATTTCCCGGGCTTCATAGCCTAGATAAGATCTATTTGTCTATCGTGGTAACTTGGCATGCCGTGAGCGGTTATTTTCAGAGGCTGGATCTACAATCACGCAGGACTAGGCACCAGGTTATCAAAATTGTTATTTTAAAATTCAATTCGAAAGAAATAAACGTAAAAGAAATATTTAATTAATTCTTCTTTTTTTTTCTTATATTTACGCGAACATTGCACATGATTAAAACTACTTTTACGGATTTTATCGCGTTTATTTTTAATTTTTATTTTTAACTTTTTATTTTTAATTCGCGACGTTTCGGGAATGTGAATGTGGTCTCTCTTATATAGGACAAACCAAAAGATCAATTAGGACCCGCGTAAAAGAACATATAGCTGATGTGAAGCATCAACGTTCCGGGAAGTCTGCAGTTTGTGATCATATCCTAGACGGCCCCAACCATTACATCAGATTTGATAGACCACAAATCCTCGCGAAAGAACACCGATTCCCACCAAGGATGATACGTGAGGCTATTGAAATTAAAAAACATCCTAATTTCAATAGAGAAGGAGGCTGGGTACTACCACCTGCTTGGGATCCTATAATCAATAAAATTAAAACTAAACGCAAGCATACCACTGCAAGACCTCAAGACATAGTCAGTTCATTTTGCATAGATCGGACCATAAACAATAATTAAAAAAGCTGAAGGTACTCCGGGTTTAACAATGACATCGGGACGTCAGTCATCTCAGTCCCCGTGACCATGGGTGCTGGAAAGCGCCCGAAACGTCGGGAATTAAAAATAAAAAGTTAAAAATAAAAAGTAAAAATAAACGCGATAAAATCCGTAAAAGTAGTTTTAATCATAATTCTTCTTTTCTGATAATTATTAGATAAAATTAAATGTGTAAATTAAATAGTGTAAAACTTCCTAAAATAACAAATATAATGTTTGATTATTATACTTATTTGTTTCATTTCTGTTCAAAATGATTATTTATTCCTTATGTATGTATGTATGTATATATTTAAATGATGATAAAAAAACATCGAAAAATGCGATATATCGTACATAAGCTTTGATGTTTTTAATGAGCGATGTTGCATCTTATAGATGTGCTGACTTGAAAAAAAATTACGACTCGAGTTAACTCAAGTTCAAATTTACACAACTCGAAGTAAACTCTAGTTACGCAACTAGAATTAGCAGGACGAAACACATTAAATGATTTGTTACAATTACTTTAAAAATATCGATTCAATAAATATATATACTTTTTTCACTTGTCCGTCCCTATGACTGAGTAAGGGCGTACAATCAGGGTAATGTAATAACTGACGTCTCTAACTAGGGGCCACGCCCACCCTTCATTAAGTGCCCTGATTCAGGGTGGTGTAATAGGGGCATAAGAACTAAGCAGGGCCCCATTGAAGCTTCGCGTCAATTTTAGTACCAAGGAAAAGTGCTATCCATAAGACTCAACTCTTCTGCATTTAGGAGCACATTATTATTCGAATGTTTAACATTTGGTATTTTAAATTTAATACATTTTGTCTTATTGCTGTTTAAGAGCAAATCGTTCGCTTTAAACAATCTACTGATTTCAATAGAGCATTATTTTCACCGTCATAAATAATTGAATGCCGTTTGAGTTTGAAAGTTAAAGAGGTATCTTCAGCAAATAATACTATATCGTGACTGTCCCCTACAAGATAAGAAAAGTCATTCATATATATTAAGAACAGGAATGGTTCAAGAATCGATCCCTGATGAATTTGACCCCATTGGCACTACCGATCCAAAGGAATCTTCACCATTGATGACGTCTTTTTGAGTTATGTTACCTAACTATGAAACGCAATATTTTTGACATCGTAGGTTCGTAGGTACTGATACCTGAACCATTGTTTTATGGTTCATGTACTGGCAAATAAATATGTTGATTTCGGGTTTAAAGACTTTTATTTCTTCTCCTATTTATTTATTTTTATTCAACTTTTCTTTATTACTATAATTAATTACTGAAATAGGCCATGTTATCACATAATTATACTAATTATGTTTTAGTTCCTTGATGGTCGAAATAAAGATATTACTATTATTAAAAACGTCTGGAGAGGTTCAGAAGTAATGTTCTAAAAACCTTCCATCGTTTTCTTAAAAGAACAATGCAGACTATTTATATGGAGTAATATTTATCCTTATAAGCTATGAATTTAATAAAACATTTACTTCTAAAACATTTTCAGGTAACAGTCGCAAGGCATTTAACAGGTTCACTGTCCACAGACCGCATATGGTCTGTAGACTAAACTACATTACCAGTCTACAGACCATATGTGGTCTGTTCATCAATACAACTTCCAGGCTGTTTTTATCAGTGGACGTGGGGAGAACGTCGTTCATTTGACATGTACTTGACAGAACATACCCTATATATTACAAATAGTGTTGGGACATAGGGAACAGATGTGCCGTTTTATCGTAATTGCGATTTAAAAAAAATGTAATATCGAAAACAAAGTTACCTATGTGCATTTTATTGCATTTTCACTCTAAGCTAAATAAATAATGAATATGTAAAATAAAACATACAACGTAATGAAAAGTAAATAGTTATTTATTGAAAAAAAGTACCAAAAAGTTAAAAAAAATTAAATGTTCATATTATTATGTTCTTATTGGAAACATTGTAGACAATACGGTTTGGTACAGATGTTGCATATTTGTGAAACCCTTTTGGCTTTATTAGTGGCAGCTGCTGTTTCCCCTTTTTGACGAAACTCATTATCGCATCCGGCACACCTACGTCTGGTAATTTTGCCATCTTTTCTATCCAGCTGTTTGAGAAAATGCTGTGCTTGTGACGTAGACGGCGCCGGCGGCGCTGGTGTGGCCGGTGTCTGGACAACGTTCATACCCAAAAGATTTTTTATAATACAAATTTGGGCCTGTAATAACGTACATTTATTCTGCTGGTTCAATTTATTGAACAAATAAACTGTATTTATGACATCCACTCCAAACAGGACATTGACAGCAGTTTTTATGTACCATGTCAAAGTCTTACGAATTGGCGAATAGTAGCTAGCTAATTCGTCAGAAAGATCGATACCTTTTTTTCGATTATTGTATTCCAATATCATATTAGGCTTTGGACGCGGGTTTCGACCTGTACTTATCGTTTGTTCATCTGCGTGACAAGTAGATATCATGAGCACGTCCCTCTTGTCATGCCATTTTAGGATCGTCACATTATTTTTTTGAGCAGCAATTTGCTCTCCTCTCTTCAGTTTCTTGTTTTTAATCAATAAAGGTAAGTTTTTACGATTTTTCCTCAATGTCCCACAAAGATCAGTTTTACGTTGAAGCAAGTATTCAGCTAATGGTATACTTGTATACCCATTATCTGCTATAATCATTCTCCCCTGGTCCAAAAGGTCTTCACAAAGCTCGATAATAACACTTCCAGGTTTATCAAGATTGGAGATTTGAGGATCTTGGCCAGAATAAACTTTATATTTCCAAACATACCCATCATCAGTTGTGACTTTGTAGATCTTGAGTCCATACTTGTGAGTTTTGTTTGGATTATACTGACGAATCAGCAGTCGGCCTTGAAAGGGAACCATAGATTCATCCACAACAACGCAGTCTTTTGGCGAAAGCAACTTCCTGCAGTTTCTCATTACAATGTCTATAACTGGTTGGATTTTATACAAGCGATTATTGACATCTCATTCTATTGTATTGTCGACGAAATGCCAGCAGCGTAAAATTGCTATGAAACGATTGTAGGACATTTGAATTTGATGCAATAGAGGATGATAAAAAATGGGATCTTTTTTCCAGTAGCATTCTAATATAGGGAATCTGATTATACCAGTCAGCAAGTAAATGCCCATCAATTTTTCCATTTCTTCCTTGTTTACCGGTCTCCAGCGGCTCAAACGACCTCCAGAATTATTAGCAATCAGTTGTTCAGCGTACAGATTGGTTTGTTCTATCACAAGGTCAAAGAAATTGTCATCAACCAAAAGACGAAGAATTGTAAACACATCTGCATTTTCTGGAATGTTTTCAGTTTGTATAAAGTTTTCTGAGTTACTAAAAATTTGACGAACTAATGGCTGAATGTCGTAACTTCATCCATTTTCCTCATCATGTTCTTTCATTCGACGCTCTGTAGGTGGTATTGTGTCAGTTGGAGCTGCATTCATTTCAATGTCTCCGTCGTCGTCAGAATCGGAATCAGGTGGTGCGGTTATTTGGATTTGTTGTGAAGTGTCATTAGAGTTACGAGACGTCGACGGGTGAGATGTCACCGTACTTTCAAAAATATCATTATTCATATGTTATTCAATCGAATGCTGAATATTTATATCTCGTAGACTTGATCGGTCAGGTGACAAATCATGAGGAATAAAATCGGGATCGGCTACACTATCATCATCGTCAAAATCAGGCACATCACTACGGCCGTCGGTATCATTTTCTTCTTCATCCGACGAATTTGACTGGCTATTTTGTTCGTAATCACTCTCTTCTAACATTCTTCGCAACTCTTCGTCCGTACAGTATTGTTTTTTACTCATTTTGCCACAATAACTTATAAATCAGCGAAACAAGCTCAAAAATACAAACACGTTTGCTTTGTTTTGACTTTCTACTAATGTCATAAACGCCATTTTGTCAATCAAGTTCCTTATTTCACTTATGTCATCGTAATCCATAATTTGTCTACGGTAATTTCTTATTTGATACAGATAAAAATAATATAACGACAAAAATACGCACAGACCACATATGTTCTGTGGACTCATGAGGCAACTTTTGGTCATTTTTGTTCTAGAGAGTCCACAGACCATATGTGGTATGCTTTAAAAAAATATTTTCCAATTACATATATATGTATTTCACAACATTATTTATTTATTTATACCCATAAGATACCAATTTTCACAAAAACATAACTGGACTTCTGAGCAATTTTCACTCTCTAACCTGGACAGTGAACCTGTTAATGTGTCGGCGACAGTAGGAATTCATAAGAGCAGACGAAGGTTATATGAACTTTACTATTAAAAATCATATAACCTTTCCAATAATCGAATGACTAGTAGACTAGTAATTTTTTTTCACTTGTAATCTTATAAAGTTAATAAAAATTGTTTTTTACAAGTAACACATATAACATTTATTAATTTGCTACTAACGACTAGTTATGCATTGTTGCTTATCGTTTTATTTTTGTGTTCTGTCTACCTTTTAACTTTTAGTACAGTAATTTTGTGGGTGGTGTTGGTTGTGTAATTAGCTAATCTGTTTATGTAAGGCTTGAATTGTAATTTTTATTATACAACTGTCTTTAATAAAAAAATATGTTAAAGAATATGTCAAAAATAAATCTAAAATGTTTAATAGAGTTTGCTCCACACACCCAAATCTTTAAATTTTAGCAACAAAATTAAGACGCTAGGAATAAAATTAAAATAAAGTGGAGTATAATTAACGGTAAAACCGGTAATGACAAACGTCGTAACACAAACTATCTATTGAATATTAACAATTAATTGACTAAATCAAAGGAAGAAGTCGCAGCGGTGTTTGAGGAATATTTCACTGATATACCTATCTTCACTCATACGTTACGGAGTCATTGAATACTTTTCTAAAAGTCGGCAAGTCATTACTCAAACAGAATTTATTACTTGTTTAAAAGAATTTAGATTTTAAAAAGTATTACCGCAAGATATTGTAAAATATTTCAAAACCCTTGATGTTAATAAAACCGCAGATTTATGGGGGATTTCGGTTACAGTAATTGCGTTTATAATAGATTTAATTGCACCTCATCTTGCAATTATATTTTTTATAGGATAGGGTGACAAACGAGCACACAGTCTACCTGATGGTAAGTAGTTGCTGTGGCCCACAGATATCTACATCTATATTCGATTTCGAATCAAAATCCAGATGCGTAGTCACTCGTGAGGATTAAGATGGAATGCCTCGTTTTCAGTAAAAAGGGTATCCGGTTCTCTACACTCACCATACGAAACACAGCAGCATTAAGCTACTGTTTTACGCTGGTATTCTGTGAGAGCGTGGTCCTTCCCCGGTCGAGCCGACCCATTCCTGCTACAACTATACTTCCAAAATGACTGCAGCATGGCTCTACCACGCATAATACATACCTAGATAATAATTTAAATTTATTTCGATAATTCGTCGTGTTTATGTTAATACGATTAAAGTTATTTACGTGTTTGTATTGCCACACAAAATATAGAGATGATAGAAATAATTACTTTAAAAGGAACAAATATTTACAATGCCCGTTCGATAAAATGAACACTTCGGCAAAAATGGCTTGATCATTGTCTCGCTACTGAGACAGCTTGGCAATGTGTAAATAAAGTAATGAATGGTTAATTATAACGTATACTGGTCGGATCATCTACCATTAGAAGTGTATTGTGAGCTAGCTAGGTTGCCTTCTAAAATGAAAATGATATGTAATACAAAGCCTTGTAATGTGATAAGATGGGGGGAGAGGAACAGCGAACAAATAAATTATTATCACGATATTTGTAACAGAAAATTAAAAACTATAGATCTCCCTGAGGTATTTAGATTTTATTGATCAAATATGTAGTAATGTGGATCATAAAGCACATATTGATATTTTATATAGCTGTATTGTTCACGTATTAAAGGAAGCTCAAAGATGTTTTATAGGTACAGATACCGTGTACGCGCGCCTAAAACGCTTCCATTTAAAAGGCGCCAATATTGGCGTATTCGTTCGATCGTTCCGCCATTACGCCAGCGACGTTCACTGCGAACATACATCACGCACCAGTGTTTTTAATTTCGGAAAATGACTGTTTGTGTTGTGAAATCATGTAAAAATTACTCTTGGAAAAAAGAAAAAGATAAGAACATCACTTTTCATAAGTAAATATACAATTTTCTGGTGTATTTCTTGATAAAATAATACGAAAGCTGAATGTCAATACAAGTAATAATACTGCGCAATAATATTCGAGTGTTGCCTACTGTATGAAATGTTTTTCCCTATTTTAATGTCATTAATAGATGTAAAGCAACTGTTGACAACGGATATTTATCCAAAGCAGCCGATACGCAACCGTTGTGAACTGGTTGTTTATCCGACTACAAACGAAAAAGGATGGTTATGATTTTACTGTGTGTGCGGTTGGCTAAGCTGAATCGCTTTTTTGGAATGGTGCTCAAAAACTACTTGACCTATTTAAAAAATTATTTCACCATTAGAATGCTATTATGACTTTGAAATGTAGGATGTATTTTAATATAGAGGGCACTACCATCAACGAATATGTTTTTTAGCTAAACTCGTACAGTTCTTGACCGATTTTGAAAATTCTTTTACCACTAGAATATTATGTATAATTAAAGATGTCTATTGTAGGATGTATTTTATTATAGATGGCACTACTTTCTATGAATATGTTTTATTTGGTTTATCTCAAAAATTACTTGACTGATTTTGAAAATTCTTTTACCGTTACATTACTAATGAGGGCTTTAGTTGTTTGATTAAATTATATTATTATAATAATTATGTTATATTATTATTTGTTATATGATTATGTTATATTATTGTTTATTATATAATTATAATATAATGTTCACTTCACTTTCATGTAAAGGGCACTTATACACAATCAACATTGATTTTATATATTTTTTTATTTATTTACAGGTTTTACAGTACAAAATGTAGCCTTTAAACACACAATCTTTTATCGTCTTCCAGTGGCAGAATTTAATTGATTTTACGCAATGATTTGATCTAGTCATGAAACTGTATCGATATATGAAATTTAAAAAAAAATAAACATTTGCTATTTCTTGGCCGAAGTTTACACTTAACCAAACTTACTTTTGTATTTTACTTAAGATTAAAAATTTTTGTCATTTTACTTAAGATTAAAAATAATTAATGTCTTCGCGTCAATATTTTGGGTTTTAAGGTACGAAAGTGTAGTACTCTATATATATTCAACAATAATAGATTAGTTCAATATATGTTAGATACATAATTATCTAATGTGATTTTTGATTTATTTTTAACTGTTACATTAATTATATCTAGTTTTATTACTTATTTTCACTATTTTAGTGCGATTTTCGTACAGACCCTTGTGTGTGTATATCCCCATTCACATACGTACAAAAATACATACGCCTCGAACACATATTTTACACTCAGGTATGTCAATACGAATGAAATATAAAATCTCCCAAATTTTTGGGCACTCGATTCGCACTATTATTACCGAAGTCACGCACACTAATGCAGGCATGGTACGTAAGATATGCGCGTCACGTGGTACTCACGCACACATGAATCAAAGACTGGCGTCACTGTGAACGGTGCGATGTGTTAGCAACACGGTATCAGTACCTATAAAACATCTTTGAGGAAGCTGCAGTAGATAGTTATAAAGTACGTTGTAATAAAAGAAAAATATAACGGGATGGAACAGGCATGTAAGGGAGATACATAATGAAGCTCGACTATGTTACCAGATGTGGATCCTACACGGTAAACCTACATCTGGCGTTTTGTATGACAACATGTGTGAGACCAGAAAGCGTTTTAAGTCTCTACTTAAGGACGCGTTTACAAATCAACCAAAATTAGGGTGTTTTTCGGGAGATTTTGTGACAAAACTAAACCAAATCAAATATAAGTAAAAACTACCATGTATAGATTGGTTCTTCATCTGCAAACGTCTGTAACTCTTTTGTTGAAAATAGTAGTTTTTTATATTGTAAAAACGAACTTTCGTTGCCATTTTCTACAAAATTAACGATACCGGCTTGTGTTTCGGTACATGTTTTGGTCTATTATCAACATATTTAAAAAATTTAAAAAAATACTATAAGATAACAGACATATTCAATTAAAAAACCCTGTGTTTATTTTTATCAAAATGTCACAAATAGTCGTAGAAAAAATAAAAACTGATGCACATTTTTTCACATATTTTGCTAATACGGATAAATCATAATCTATTGCAATAAGGGCTATTTTATTGTTGGTGCCTGCTTTGATTTATTGTACAAAGATTTCGATGAAACCACAGTCCGCGCTTGGCCGCCGTCGTGAGTGGACACTGTATCGCCTGTTTGCAGCGGCTCATTCTGAAAAGATCGCTGTACATACACAAAATATTAGAAAAAAAAACAAATTGGAAACATAAGTACTTGACAAGTGATAAAATTATTATTTTTATACTCACAGTTTTTTATTTAGCTAAAAATAAGTAGGATATATAAACTTACCTACTACTGCAACTCCTGGACGAGCGGAACTAGGTGTGCCGAGTTTGGGCTCGTTTTTTTGGTTATGATTAGACCTTACCTCCGGACTTGATGGCGTGACCTGAAGGTGTACTTTCGTGACCGCTATTTGAACTTCTTGCAGAGTAAAACTAGGGGTGGCGAATTTGGGCTCCGTTTTGTTAGTTATGACGAGTCCATACCTCCGGACTTGATGGAGTGACCTGAAGGTGTAAATCGGTGATGGCAACTGGAACTC